CCCCTCCCACCGCTTAAGGAGCTGCATCTGCGCCTTGATCCTTGAAGGGTGGTGGTGTTCCAACGGATGCGGAACACCGAGTCAGAAGCGAACCGTGACCATTTTTTTTTTATTTATTTGGAAGAGCTGGAGTAAAAACTCGCCAAATCTGGAGCATAACCTTTCGGATAATGGCCAAAAAAGGATTCACTTTATGTACGATTTGTATCCCGCACAGTGTTTGCACACAGTGTTTAATAATGGAGATTGGATATAACAACACTGTCAGGCTCCTTCGGGGCAAAACAAAATGGCACTATACTGTAATTTCACAAATTTTCGGTGTACTTTTATTTTCGGTACTTTCGGTGCGTCTGTTTCATACCTAAAATTTCAATACACCGAACCAACACTAACACACATAATCCAATAGGGAACTGCTTCTCTGTACCGAAAATTTCTGTTCACCTAATCTAGGCCGTTGCCCTCATACCGAAAATATTGAGCACCGAAAATTTCTGAAATTAGAGTATTCGATCTGTCACTTAACCCGATCTTCGCAAAAGGACTTACTAAACGACTTGGGCAACAGAATTAAACTCAATCGGTCGTTATATGCCAGGTCGTTATATCCGATCTCCACTGTACCAAGTCAACAACCCATGCATAACACCACCAAATTCACCAATATTTTCTCCTGGCATAAATACCGGCATGGCCAGTAGCATCCTCATGCTGCCTGATGACTGCGAAAGCATGAAACTCAACCGGTAGCAACTAACTAACTAGCCCTGCTTGCCATTGTTGTTCTGTGCATTATTCTCTGCCTCCTCGGTGTTGAGCACTGTCAGCACACTGGGTGCATCCTCCAGTGTGCTGACAGTGCTATATCTGTACCTGGGTTCCAGTTTTGAAATGGTTTTAGTGAGATTTTTAATGTGAAATTTGCCTGGTGGTGCCTCTCTCTCTCTCTCTCTCTCTCTCTCTCTCTCTCTCTCTCTCTCTCTCTCTCTCTCTCTCTCTCTCTCTCTCTCTCTCTCTCTCTCTCTCTCTCTCTCTCTCTCTCTCTCTCTCTCTCTCTCTCTCTCTCTCTCTCTCTCTCTCTCTCTCTCTCTCTCTCTCTCTCTCTCTCTCCTCTCTCTCTCTCTCTCTCTCTCTCTCTCTCTCTCTCTCTCTCTCTCTCTCTCTCTCTCTCTCTCTCTCTCTCTCTCTCTCTCTCTCTCTCTCTCTCTCTCTCTCTCTCTCTCTCTCTCTCTCTCTCTCTCTCTCTCTCTCTCTCTCTCTCTCTCTCTCTCTCTCTCTCTCTCTCTCTCTCTCTCTCTCTCTCTCTCTCTCTCTCTCTCTCTCTCTCTCTCTCTCTCTCTCTCTCTCTCTCTCTCTCTCTCCTCTCTCTCTCTCTCTCTCTCTCTCTCTCTCTCTCTCTCTCTCTCTCTCTCTCTCTTTCTCTTCCTCTGCGCTAACCATGCTCATGTAGATAACTGATTTCGGAGTATCTGAGTGGTTCACCGATATCGAACAGGACAAGAAGCTGAGCAAGACGGCGGGAAGTCCTGCGTTTATGGCGCCAGAAGCGGGTATGTTTCAGATCTGTATTCTCACAATGGCCTGTGAGCAATAATAGAGAGGTTAAGATGCACGTTATTTCTGATGTGACGCGAAAGTTCAGCTTGCGATATTTGGCTCGAGCGTTGGAATAAAACGCGAGTGACCTGCAGCTCACGTTGAAATTTGGAGTTTTACGCCAAATTTGACGTGAAATTGCGTGTCGCGGTGTTCATCATAATGTACCTCGAAGTACAAATATGTTGTGTGAGTTCCTGTGATGCATGCAAGAGACAGAGGCAGTCTTCAAAACGTAACCTGAGCTGCAAAACATCTATAGTCCATACAGCTAGGGAACAAATTACAACTGAGCGGTCACAATGCGAATGTGGAAAAAGAGACGATGATGCACAGTGCAGACTACAGCATACAGGAGAAACATGATGCATGTATTGGGTCAGACTGCATATGTAGGCGAGATTTGCATGTAGCGCCATAGATCAAGGCAGAAATTGAGACTGCAAAAACAATTGAATTGAGTAAACCGACACGTCACTTGCACACACGCTAGATTTACGCAGCAAAAGCAATGGTAGCAGAAGATTATAGCACACAGCAGTGCACGCTACAGTAGCTACACACTACACCACGCTACACATAGTATATACAGCACTCCTCAAGTCAGATTGGCAAAAGACAAAACAGTTGTATCGAAACCAAGATTTCCTTCAGATAGGCCGACGGGTATGCACATGCCGTGCCAATTTCTCGCGTACAACAGAACCGGTGGCATTGGTTTCCAAAACACACCGGTCATTTGGACCTGGTCCGTATTCTTGTGGGTCACAGCACCAGCTCTCACCATCCGTTGACGCAAAGGTTTCGCAGAAGTTGTGCAGTGCACAGCATACCAGAGCAACATCAGCAGCAAATATCGGGTCCCGTAGCTTTGACGAGTCCAAAATTGCGAAGCGGCCTTTCAGACGCCCAAACGCTTGCTCCACTACTCTCCTCGTTCTTATCAGCCGATAATTGAAGGTGCGCTGGTAGGGCTCCAGCGCCTGGTTGTCAGAGAAACACTTCATCATTGTCGGAGCCAATGGAAATGCAGCATCGCCGACAAGGTATGGGCGTATGTACGTACCATTCAGGACATTCCTATTCTCTCCACGCTCAAGGATTGTGAGCCATGTCTTGTCATTGATTTTCTGCTCCAAACCACTGGGGTGGAAAGTTGCGGCATCTCCCATCGAGCCCGCTCGTCCTGCATCAATGTACGTAAATTGTCCGCTCGCATCAACCACCGCCAATATCAAAATAGAAGAATACTTCTGGTAGCAATAATACGCATCACCATACTTCACTGGTTTTCTAATGCGCATGAAGGTCCCATCAATTGCTCCTGCACAGCGAGGCAATCCACAAAGTTCCTTGAACTCCTTCATCACTGTTCGCAACTTTTTACCACTTGGGAATTTCATCACTCTATTGGCCAGCTGCTTCTTCAGTACTGATATCGTGTCGTGCACGATGGCCACGGCGGTAGACTTACCAATTCCGTAAATCAAGGCCAGTTGTGTCATTGACAAACCATGCTCAATCCAGTGCAAAGTAATCGATAGCCGCTTTGCAGAGGAAACTGGCAATCTGTAATGTGTCACAGAGCGCTCCAGCCACCCACCAACAACTCCATGCAGCGTCCAGAATGCAATCTTGCTCAGCCGCAAATGAAGTCTATACTGGTCGTCTTCCCAGTCAGCAACATCCCACTGCACGCCCATGGTGTTCCAGTGTACAATGACATCGTCATTCCACACACCAGGGTACGCAATGCACACCAGAAACGTCGTTTCCGCTTGCCAAACAGGAGCGGGACAGCGGCCAGCAATTCATCGTCATCATCATCATCGTCCTCATCGGTCCTTGTGCGTTTTCTACGAGGCACGATCTGCCTTGGTAGCGTCGGACAAGGGCGACTAGTATTCGCTAGAAGCATGCGCACCATGATATCAGTGCACAGCAAGATGCAGACAACAACACGGCGTCTAGTTTCACTATCCATGGCTGCACTACAAACTCACGACTCTCAAACCTCCCTCAATCTTTCAAACAAGCACTCTGATTCCAATGAAACTCCTCTCCAATGCCCAACAACAAAACTCTGTTGTTTGCCACGTGAAAACAAGAGAAAATCATATTCAAAAATGAGCGGGAAGAAAAAAAACTCTAGCACACAAAAAAAATCCAGCCGATTTCGCGCCGTGGTGTGACCAACCGACCCATTCAGCACAAGCCACTTTCAGCGCAAGCGGGAAACGGCTTGTTTGGTGTGACTGCGGCCTTAGTAGAACACGTGTGATAATTTTACTACTCCACTGCTTGCTAAAATGGGATGGGAACGTACAACTGGGACACTATACCACGTGATGTGAGTTTTCGCCGTCGGAGGACCCCATAGAACCGGATGTCCAGAGCTGCATGCTCTTATGTGAGCACTAGAATAGGTACCGGTAGTACGGGACATAGAACTCAGCGTGCAATTCTTATGTCATATACATGTATACCTCATAGCCTCATATAATCACCATTATAAATTGCATCTCTCTTATTGGCCAACGGCCACCGTGAGAAGTGGTAATAAATAAATAATAAATTTTGAAAGGATTGAGAGAACTTCAAATTCAAAGGATCAATTGGGGAAGTGAACTGCCTGAAAAGAGAAAAAAACGCCAGACCCACCAGGACTCGAACCCGGGACCTTGCTTGTCATGAGCAATTCTCTAACCATTATTATAATGGACTCGGATGGAGAGCCAAGGATATATTTATAGTAAAGAAAAAGGACCAAGAAACCTTAGAACCTTCCAAGTTGGAAGGCTGTTGGAGTGCGCATCCAAGATGTGCTAGAGCTGTTAGCCAGTTAGTTGTAGAACGTCAGTACCGTCGGTCAGTGTCGTGCAATGTTATCGCATGAGCTGATTGTTTAGTAACTGGTGGTGTTAGTGGACATTATAGCGTATCTTGTAGTTGCTTGGTCCATTTTTCTTTACTGTAAATAATCATATGGGCAGGTGTAAATATAAGGATGGGAAGGTCACAGTTATATGTATACGGATATAGCACTAAATGATATAGAGTTCCATTATCATCACATGAGCTTATTTTCCCTTTTTCCGAAATGATTTGTTTATGTCCACCGCCTGCTGTCTATTGTGTTGCTGTCTTGTTGTCCTATCAGTAATATCGGATCCTAGCAGGCCAGTGGAATATGCCGGAAAGGTGAGCTAAAGAACACGAACAGTAAAACCTGACTTAAAACAGGACGCCGTTGGTGCAGCGGAAACTGTCCCCGATACGACAGGATACCGCTTGATCCAGGGATGTATGTTCGATGAACAGCACTTTGGTGAATGATAATTTTGTTCCATCAGTATGGGATTCCGCTGGATCCTGGGATGCACGTTCAATCCACAGCAATTTGGTGCATGGCAATTATTTGTCCGGTCAAATACAGGATCCCGCTTGTTACGGGGTCTGGCAAACACTGATTGTTTACTGTATATACATAGGGCTTGAAAGTGACGACGTCCGAAGTCAAAATCTAACGACAAATACCGACTCTTGCATCCACTCTACGTAGATGGATTACAGCAGTGTTGATGCTGATCAAGAGGATCTCTTCTGTTGAGCAGCTGAGCAGCAGGTGAATTCGAGTAAAGTCAAACAGATCGAGTCCTGATTATTTGCTTCGGTTTTTTCATACTGGTATATGATTGCAATAAATCCTTCGGCTCTACATTTATTATATACCGTAAAGTCTTGTATAAAAGCCGCGGCTTCTATGACTTTCTTGGTGAAATTTTGCAGGCTTCTATATGAGACAGGCTTCTATACAAGACAGGTATTTCTATGTATGTCAACACGAAAACCAGGCTTATGTGTGATTTGATGGGCCCAAAATCGCGGCTTCTATTCGAGGGCGGCTTCTATTCAAGTGCCACTTCTATACAAGACTTTACGGTACATACAGTAAAACTGGTGACTAACGACCACCCCTTGCCCTTGGGGCCTGAGAAAGCGGTCTTTAGTTGCAGGTGGTCTTTAGTTAGAGGTTTGCACCGTACAACCACATGTGAATGTGTGACCGTCCGTGCCTGGCGAAGTGGTCTGTAGTACCAGGCTGGTCGCTAGTCACGGTGGTCTTTAGTTACAGGTTTTACTGTAGTAGCAGGCCTGGTCGCTAGTCACGGTGGTCTTTAGTTACAGGTTTTACTGTAGTACCAGGCTGGTCGCTAGTCACGGTGGTCTTTAGTTACAGGTTTTACTGTAGTAGCAGGCTGGTCGCTAGTCACGGTGGTCTTTAGTTACAGGTTTTACTGTAGTACCAGGCTGGGTCCCTAGTCACGGTGGTCTTTAGTTACAGGTTTTACTGTAGTACCAAGCTGGTCGCTAGTCACGGTGGTCTGTAGTAGCAGGCTGGTCGCTAGTCACGGTGGTCTTTAGTTACAGGTTTTACTGTAGTACCAGGCTGGTCGCTAGTCACGGTGGTCTTTAGTTACAGGTTTTACTGTAGTAGCAGGCTGGTCGCTAGTCACGGTGGTCTTTAGTTACAGGTTTTACTGTAGTACCAGGCTGGTCGCTAGTCACGGTGGTCTTTAGTTACAGGTTTTACTGTAGTAGCAGGCTGGTCGCTAGTCACGGTGGTCTTTAGTTACAGGTTTTACTGTAGTACCAGGCTGGGTCCCTAGTCACGGTGGTCTTTAGTTACAGGTTTTACTGTAGTACCAAGCTGGTCGCTAGTCACGGTGGTCTGTAGTAGCAGGCTGGTCGCTAGTCACGGTGGTCTTTAGTTACAGGTTTTACTGTAGTACCAGGCTGGTCGCTAGTCACGGTGGTCTTTAGTTACAGGTTTTACTGTAGTACCAGGCTGGTCGCTAGTCACGGTGGTCTTTAGTTACAGGTTTTACTGTAGTACCAGGCTGGTCGCTAGTCACGGTGGTCTTTAGTTACAGGTTTTACTGTATTTGCAGTAAATAAATAGAAACTAGTAATGTTGCGTGTTTGTTTTTGCGTGTGTTTCCTATGCAGCCTGCTGATGTCTGGGCAATGGGGGTCACACTCTACTGCTTTCTTTTCGGACAGGTAGGATATTGACTTGTCTTATTCAAAGCCCCATATTGAGTGAATAATAGCAAGAGGGTAGATCTACAAGAGAAGAGCCCGAGATAAAAGGGAAACGAAGGAGGAGTCCAGGTGGAAAAGGAAAAGAACATTGAAAGGATCGGCCACGCAATACGAATAATTCCCATCGTGGATAGGAAAATTATTCAATTGACATTCCTACACAAGAAGTGGATAATAATTATTTCTAGCTGACTGTAAAGCTGGTTCATAAATATGGTGGTAAAGACACACCTGGCAATATGGCGGTAAACACACGCCTGCCCACACACGCTCTCTAGGCTGCAAAGTTCTGGCACGGAGCTCTCCTTCTCACCACCACCACCATCAGTTTGCGCCTGGCGCCTGGTCGATGCATGGCTGGCGGTATCCGGCATAGCAGGCTGGTACATCAAGTAGCGCATGGCACATATATGATGACACAGCAACGACATAGCTCGATTGCGACGTACGTTTCGTCCCCGCTGGACTCATCAGGCAATCTTCTTCTTGGATGTCTTCATACGGAGCTTGACTTGGGAAAATGAAGTTGAAGACACCACTGCAGCTGTACTTATGGTTCATAAATATGGTGGTAAAGACACACCTGGCAATATGGCGGTAAACACTGCTAACTTTATAATCATGATCTGATTACTTTGGTGGACAGTTGGTCATAACTCATAACATATTGGCCTTGAGAAGAAGTAGTGACGACCCGGCCATTATGGAATCCAATACACCACACCACCACATCGCTCTCTTGGCCGATCCAAACTCTGCACTCACATCACCATCACCACAGCGAATATTATCCTTCACTTTTTATCCATGATATTACCCATTCAGTTCTGATTCGGAGAGTGTAATACTTCCCCTCTTCTGGTTTGTTTCTCTCTCTCTCCTTCTCTGTGTGAAGTTGCCGTTCAAGTCGTCTAACATCATTGAGCTGTATGAATTCATCCGGACAGCAGAGTAAGAAACTGCCTGCGGCACACACTCACACACACACACACATACCGTAATGTCGCGTATAAAAGCAAGTGCTTACGGCCGTATAAGCCGGGGTTCCAACCATGCTTCTATTCAAGTTACGCTTCTATTCAAAACATGCTTCTCCGTCAACATGATCAGTGTGCACAGTGCAGTACATACTGCCACTTATGTACTTGAACATGTACTTTGCACAGAGCGGCTTCTATTCAAATCATGCCTCTGTGTCACGGCGCGATACAAAAAATCGGCTTATATTCGAGTCATGCTTCTATACAGGTCATGCTTCTATACAGGTCATGCTTCTATACAGGTCATGCTTCTATACAGATCATGCTTCTATACAGGTCATGCTTCTATACAGATCATGCTTCTATACAGGTCATGCTTTTATACAGGTCATGCTTCTATACGTGACACTACAGTATTCACATGTATGTGAACACAGAGGCATACATACATACACACACGCATGCACGCAAATACCGGCACACGCATACGTGCAACCCCCCCCCCTCCCCTCCCCCCCCCCACACACACACATGCGCGTACGTGCGTGTGCAAACACACGCATGTACGCGCACACCACGCAATCATTTTGCCACCGACTATTTAAATGAATCATTTCTTCGGTTAACATTTTCCTGCAGAACGTGTATTCGGGCAGAATGCCGGTGTTTTTGTTTAAAAATATCGTTGGGCTTCGGCATCAACATAACTGATGTGGAGTTGTTTTGCATGCTTCTTATTATTCGGCAACTGATTGGCGTGTGTGTGTGTGTGTTTGTGTGTGTGTGTGTGTGTGTGTGTGTGTGTGTGTTTGTGTGTGTGTGTGTGTGTGTGCACGCATGTGCTTGTGCCTGTGCGTATGTGCCTTGATAACAATGACGTCGGCTGGTTATATCTCCTTTCTCCCCCTCTCTTCAAGGGTTGCATTCCCTGAAGAGTAAGTTATATCAGATGTGGTTTTGCTTGCTTCCACCCTCTGTCTGCCTCTCTCTGTATCTCTGTCTGCCTCTCTCTGTGTCTCTCTCTGTGTCTCTGTCTCCCTCTCCCTCTCCCTCTCTCTCTCTCTCTCTCTCTCTCTCTCTCTCTCTCTCTCTCTCTCTCTCTCTCTCTCTCTCTCTCTCTCTCTCTCTCTCTCTCTCTCTTTCTCTCTCTCTCTCTCTCTCTCTCTCTCTCTCTCTCTCTCTCTCTCTCTCTCTCTCTCTCTCTCTCTCTCTCTCTCTCTCTCTCTCTCTCTCTCTCCTAATTTCATTTCAGGAGTATTGCATGATTGTTAACATGGTGTACCATGCTGGACTGGGGAATGGTTTACTTGGCACTCGTCTGGGTTGCAGAGCTTTGACCTAATTTTCTCTGTTGTGTTTACAAATGAGAGTCCTCTGGCACGGTACAGTGCTCAATATTCATTCGAATAGAGCTATCTTACACACGGCACAGAGCACCACGCATCATTCGTTGTAACCAGGGAGTCGTACTCAAACTAAGGAGGTGACACGGCACGGAGCACCACGTATCATTCGTTGTAACCAGGGAGACGTACTCGAACTAGGGAGGTGACACGGCACAGAAATCCGTGTCACAGGGGTTGACTCGCATCCGTAACCCCTCGTTGTTATTTTTGGAATAGTTCAGTCCAGTCCAGTCTGTAAGTCCGAAAGGTCAAACGCGAATCCTATCCTTCTACCTCCAAGCGTGCCAAGTATTATATCTACTTGGCACGCTTGGAGGTAGAAGGATAGGATTCGCGTTTGACCTTTCGGACTTACGGACTGGACTGAACTATTCCAAAAATAACAACGAGGGGTTACGGGTGCGAGTCAACCCCTGTGACACGGATTCCTGTGCCGTGTCACCTCCCTAGTTCGAGTACGACTCCCAGGTTGTAACGAATAGTTCCATGCCCATAGGCAATCATCAGACAACTAATAACGGGATAAACAGCCAAAATCCAATTTTGATGCTGTTGTGCCTACAGTGTTCCCGTATCTGACGAGCTGCGAGACTTCATCCTGCAACTCCTGGAGAAGGACCCGGAGAAACGACTCACTATCGATGGCATGCGGGTATGTATGACTGTTTTATTCCCGTAGCTATGCAGAAGACGTTACTTCAGTAACGTCTGGCGCTAGCCAGGGTCCACACAGCTTTAATTTGGTATTTGTGTGTTTGTTTGTTTGTTTGTGTCACGCCTGGCGCTATCCCGTATCTGACGGCCAAAAATCATGGGGATGTTATAAATTTTTCAATTCTCCTTTTTTTCAGGCTTATCCTGGGATTCGAACCCGCACTATCACCCTACATGCATTCCCCCATACACTTT